CCACGACAGGCCTCCCAATGCAAGAAGAAACCCACAAAACACTGCCTGGCAGAAATAATAGAAGTAGTTTCATTCAGTCCAAAACAATGGGGTGGAAAACACTCGTTCTGACCTCAGCCGTACACCTCGCTCCTGTGTCTGGGAAGTCTGTCCGAGTCCCTACAGATCTAGTCAACAAGCGTCACCTAATCCTCCTCTCGATTGAGTATCTCGTGTATCGTGCCCGTCGATCCCAAGGGACCGTGCTCGAGCTCTCGGTGTCTGACGTGGCCTCCCTCGCCCATCGAGGCCAGAGCTTCAGATCTACGGTGACCATACCCTCGCGCAGTCGCTCCGTCAGGGAGGTGATCGTCCTGGATGTCTAGCTCAGGCGCCCTCTTCAGAAGGGCCCGACTCAGATGGTACCTGTTCGAAAACCCCGCTTCAGATCGTACCTCTTCTGAAGTCCCGCTTTGGATCATACCTCTTCGGAAGGCCTGCTTCGGGTTGTACCTCTTCGGAAGGCCCGCCTCGGGTTGTACCTCTTCGGAAGGCCCACTTCGGGTTGTACCTCTTTGGAAGGCCCGCTTCGGGTTGTACCTCTTCGGAAGGCCCGCTTTGGGTTGTACCTCTTTGGAAGGCCCGCTTCGGGTTGTACCTCTTCGGAAGGCCCGCTTCGGGTTGTACCTCTTCGGAATAGTGACCCTTCGGTAAAAATGCCTGCTCGGTGAAGTAACCACTCGGTAAAGTACCCACAAGGTAAAGTCTTCGCACGGCGAAGTACCCGCTCGGTAATATGTCCGCTCGGTAAAAGTGTCCGCTCGATAAACGAGCCCTCCCAGTGAAAGAAAACCCCCCCAGGTACAAGAACCCGCCCGGTATATGTCCGGTCGGCAAGTGCCCACCCAGTATTGTGCCCGTCCGATAAAGTACCCGTCCGGTAAGATATCCGTCCGGTAAGTCTGTCAGCCCGGTAAGATGCCTGTCCGGTGAAATACCTGTCCGGTAAAGTATCCGTCCGGTAAGTCTGTCCGCGCGGTAAGTAAGTCCGCCTCGTAAAATATCTGTCCGGTAAAATACCTGTTCGGTGAGAAACCCGTTCGGTAAGTGTGTCGCTCGGTGAAGTACCCTTTCGGTAAGTGTGTCGCCCGGTGAAGTACCCTTTCGGTAAGTGTGTCGCCCGGTGAAGTACCCTTTCGGTAAGTGTGTCGCCCGGTAAGGCACCTGTCCGGTAATCAACAGCTGCGTTCCATCCGACTCCTCAACTGTAACCAAAGGTTCCCGTCCGACCCGCTCAGTGGCCCTCCCGCGACCCCCAAGAAGCCCGCTTCGGCTGATGAGCACGCTCAACCAGAAGGGTAGTACAGTCCGGTAGTTCAGACAAGTGCTCAAAGGTACCACCTTGGGTGGCACTCGGGCACTGCAGGCAGTCCGCATCCCGTCTGTGCTACATGAGCAAAGGGTGGGAGCGCGTAGGCGTGCTCAAGATCCTCGACTCTCTCTCTTCGTGCGCGGATCCCCGGCTGTCTCTCCCTCTCTCTCCGTGTGAGGAGGTGTGCAGGAGGTCCCCTCTCTCGTACAGGGATGCGCGATAGTGCGCGCGGACGCGCGTTGGCTAGGCGCGATCCCCCCCCCCCGACTCTCCCTCTCTCGTACGTGCGCTGAGGGGCACGGTCGCGCGCAGGTGTGTGCAGGATCCCCCTGCTCTCCCTATCTCGTCGCGCGCGCTGATGTGCACGGGCGTGCGCAGGATTCCCCCGCGGCTCTCTCTCTCTCGTGCGCTGCTGGGCGCGGATGTGCGCAGGCCCCCCTCGCAGCTCTCTCTCTCTCTCGCGCGAGCGCTGATGCGCACGGACGCGCGCAGGATTCCCCCGCGGCTCTCTCCCACTCTCGCGCGCTGATGCGCACGGACGCGCGCAGGATTCCCCCGTGGCTCTCTCTCACTCGCGCGCGGACGTGCGCAGGATTCCCCCGCGGCTCTCCCTCACTCGCGCGCGGACGCGCACAGGATTCCCCCGTGGCTCTCTCTCTCCCGCGCGCTGGCGCCCGCAGATGTGCGCAGGCCCCCTTCGGCTCTCTCTCTCCCGCGCGCTAGCGCGCGCGGATGCGCGCAGAAGTATGCTCCCCTGTGCACGCGGGGAGCGCGCGAGTGTGTGTGAGTGCTCGCGCGAGTGTGCGTCGGTCGTATGCGCAAGTGCGCGCGTGTGTATCTCCTCCCGTGTGTGTCTCTCCCTGTGCGTGTCTCTCCCCGCGTGCATGCGCAAGTGCACCTATCTTCGCACGTGCCTGTGCCGTGCGCCTCCCGTACGTCTGTCTCCTCCTTCCTCCCCACCTGGTCCGCACACGCCTGATCAGTACGTGGTGGATTCGTTCGCCTCYGTCTCGYGCGTGTAGYYGCCCCGCACGTCTCTCTTCCCRTGCRCYTGTCCGTGCGTCCYGGCTCCCGTGCGCCTCACTTCTTGCATGCGAAGAATGCCCCAAACCCGGGCCCGRTTCGGCTTAAGTATCCTGCCGGGCCCTTCCCACATGTGTGTGCCCCGACCACGAGTGCACCGAGGCCGCYAGCAACTTGCAGCGCCTCGGTAYCGGCCCTGCGCCCGAGCCTGCTTGGGCCTCCGAAAAGGTCCYRGTGGAAAGGGCCTTCCCRTAGKRAACTGGGCCCTTTGCAGCGCCYTGGTACCGGAGYTGTCCCCGAGCYTGTCCCAGGCCCGCCYGAGCCTAAGCGGTYCCCACGCYGCAATGGTACCGCTCTTGGGGGAAAATCCAGGCTGGCCCCGTAGGTGAAAATCGGACCCATCATTAAGTTGGGCCTAGGTGGTCCCTGCGTCCCAGTGGGACTGCCCCTCCAGAAGAAAATCCGACTGGCCTAATGGCCTCTTGCCCGTGGTGTCGGCCCGTGCCATGGTCGGTGAGTCCCRGYCGGATAAAGTAGGCCCCTTGTTCGCAGCGTCGGTCCGCTTCATGGTCGGTGTGTCCCGGTCACGTAAAATAACGTCGAGCAATGATATCGCCGCGCCATTCTCCGGCGTGTCGTCTCACCGGATGGTTGATAATTGTCGGCAACCCCGTCGGTCCCAGTGTCGGTCCGTCTCATGGTCGACGAAGCCCAACCAGGTAGAATACTGTTGAGTGTGGTTGTCATCGCGTGCCCTCTGAAAGGAAGTAAAGGGCGGCGTAGCATTGTAGCCGCCCGACACCGTCTATGAAACATGCATCTAAGAAGTCACGAATTCTAGCTTTATCGGTCTCGGATGGTGGAGACGAAACTTCTCTCGACTGTGGATGTTCCATAGAGGACGATGAAGCCATGGTGATAAAGATCAAAATAAAAAACCTAAAATAACGATTGATCCATACTCCAATATTCTTACGGTCCTGTCTACGCATATTACTTATTTAATATATGTAGGAGGCATCAATAAATGTACCAATATGAAGATATCCCACAGAAAACCAGAATTAACCGAGGGTCTGAATATCCAAATTTATCAAGCATCTTGGTAGGAGAGTTGTGCTTACCAACCTAGGCCAACCAAGGCCAAGCTGTACTTCCTTCACCGTGCTAGGTAATTCTGTGTTCCCTCTTGACGTACCATCACTAGGCCAAGTGTGAATACAAGGCATTAACACAATCATTAAAAGCTCATACCCGCCTTGACCTATTCACCACGCTATGTCTCAACTTCTGTCGAAGCAGGTAGTTCGCTGACGCTGACACACTTGACCATGTCAACGCGGAATGAAGGTCTTCTGATCCAGAGATGTGAAGCTCGGGGGGCGGCGTATCCCAAGGACAGAAAGCTTCTTCCTCCTTACTTCTCAGAACCAAGGTAAGAGTAGTGGAGGCGAAGATAACTCCCGTCTTGGAATTGATGAAAAAACGACGAGGTCTTTGGGATGTAAGCCCGTTGGTTGTCTCAGCGCTGGTGGTTGGTTGCCTAGGGAGCACCTCCGCATCTTCTCCCCTTCGCATTGACAGAGTCGACTCCTTCGTTCCCCTCCGGATCTAGTCCAAAACCCCTCCATAGGGGGAATCTTGAAATTGCCCCGTCCCCATCTCCCCTGACGCGTTGGCGAGCCGGTCCGTGCCTGACAGCACGAACCTGTTTCTTCCCGCGGCCCTACCGCCTCCGCCGCCACTGCTAACGCACTGTCGTCGCTCCGCCAAGCCAGTGTATTTTATTTTTGTCTTTTTGTGCATGTCGTGCGTGAGTAGGGGAGCGAGGCCCTTTTAACTTCATCAAACAGAACTGCCCAGTAAGGGCCTCGCCACACCACTCTTGAACAGGGTGTGGAAATATGTCAAGAGTTGTCAGACGTTCTCAAGAGTTGGGTTTTCAAGAGTTTTCGGCTCCTCGCCACACAACACTCTCGAAAGGGCCATGTCATTGGACACAGGATGAAAAACGATAGTCATACAACTTTTTTTTTTTTTTTCCGCATGGCATCAGGATAACGGCCTGACAACTCTTCAAAATCAATAGATAATGGATTGAAACATAGTCGGACGGGAGGCGAAGGGCTCGGCGGAGCCGGTGGACGCTCGAGAGCTGCGCTAATTTTCCTGGCGCTAATCCTCTGCCGACGACGCGGGGGTCGAGGCGCTTCGGGTTAGCAGCTCTTGCGTGGTCCACTCCTCTTCATGCCTTCGGCTTCGGCAACTCCGAGGCCCCAGGCTCGAGGGCCTACCTTCACTATAGCAACTATGGTGAGAGCCTTCCGAGAGATTCGGGACGGCCAAGGTAGTGGCTAGTCCGGCTTGGTTGTGCTACAGCAATTGCGCGAACGGAAGTCAACGGAAAACGCAGTGTGAACTCTCGTCGACTTTCCAAGAGCCGAGTCTTCTCAAATCCTCGACCACACAGGCGGTATAAAGGTAAAGTTCCATCTTCACGGGCATATACTTTGATGGAGTAGAGGAGAGAGACTTGCTTGGACCTATTTATGGATGCCATAATATTAGGTTATTATTTTTACGTCCGTAGATCCCTTGGCCTGTCCCTACGAGGGTTGGTGTTCCGGGGGGGGGCGTAGTTTTTCATCTTTCTTCAATGAATGATCAACACCCCCGTCCGACTATGTTGGATGAGGAAAAGAATAGAATCAGGGGGTTGATTGCTAAGTGTTATGCTGATGGAATTCTTCCAAAAGAATTAGCTCCCAATTCAGTTATTACTGGGGATTACTATGTTAGAGTAGTTATTAACCCAGAAGTGATGACCATTCAAGAGGAATGGCTCCAGGAGCATGCGGTGTCCATCTTCTTCGGGGATGACTCCACGTCTCTTCCCGTGAGCGTGAAGAAACGCCTAGTGCGTATCTATGAGAATGGGTAGGTTAGGCAAGGGGAGATCACTGCTCAACCCAAGAGGGGGCTATTCCATAATGAAGGAAGGAATCTAGTCACGTACGTGGCAACGGATAAGGAGATTGCAACGTGGACGTTAAGGGTCGGCCAATCGGTAGTTGAACTAGATGGGAAAAAATATTCGCTAACCTTTGAGCCGTGGATGACGGAATATGAGCCTTGGGAGTGGAGGGAGGTCGCCAGGCTCGTTTGGATAAGATGTATGCAGGTGCCAGTGGGCGTTCTCCCTCACCTCTCCAAAGTTGTTTCTGAGGCATTTGGCCCTATTTTGAAAGAGTTTTCGGCCTATAGTGATCCCGTGGAACCTGATTTGCTGAACATTCGGTTTGATCTGGAGTCGGCAGCAAGACTGCGGTATAAACGTTATATGATCGTAGACCTCGGCAATGTCAGGTACGTAGAACTGGAAGTGGTTTGTCCTTCTACTCCCTGGTGTCCCTCTTGCAGGAAGTATTTTCACAGGGAAGGAGACGAGGATTGTGGGTCGAAGAACAAAAAGTCATACGCAGATGCAACAAAGTCCAAAGCTCAAAACTCAAGGGGAACAGGAGGCAGGGGGGTGGTCCGATCGGAGGAAAGGGAGGCGAAAAGGGGGAAGGAGATAAGGCGCCAGAAGGTGGGGAAAAGAAGGGGCCATCGCCAGCCAAGGATGGGACCCAGTCGGAGGATGTTCGGGTGAAAGAAAAAGAGAGCACCTCGAAATGGGTGGTGAAGAAGGGTAAGGCAAGGGAATTGGAGGAGGGTTCAAAGGGACCAGGTGAGAAGGGGGACAGTACCGGGTCGGGAAGGGACAAAGACGATTCCCCGGAAAAGGGAGATGAGCTTAGGGAGAAAAGATCTGAACTGCGGGAGAAAGGAAAAAAGCAAACGGTAAGTGATACTCGCGATGGGTCTGGTCTTCCCGGTTTGAAAGACGTAGATCGGATGGAAGAGGATACCATCTTGACCAGGGAAAAGCGTAAGCGGGACGAGGGAGATCGCCCGACAGAGGAGGTGGTTCTCTCGAGTCCGGAGGATCCCGATCCGGGCAATGCTTTAGTCCTGTATGATGCAACCAAAGCCCGTAAGGCTTCAGGTCGGCTCTCCCCACGTTCCTCAGGGGAGGACTCTGAGGACGACGAGGACGGGGTCCTGGAGCCACTGTTTGGGGCTAAGGACGGGTTGTGGAACTCTCCCATAAAGACCTACGATAACGAATTCTTTGATTGGACGCACGCGGGTAATATATCGATTGAAGAATTGACTACACCTATCACAGCATGTAGACCTTTGCCAGCTCCTACTCGTGAGTTTCATTCTTCCAGTTCGGAGGAATTTTTTGAAGCGAAAGAAGAAAATACGGACGAACGACGTGCTGGAGGGAGAAATGTCATCTCAAACCGTTGGCCCTGAGTAAGTCCCCCGTGGACGATCCTCGGAAAGGGATTGCCTCCCCAACCAAGAAGTCGAAGAAAGTTCTCTTTCAAGCCAAAACAGGAGTTTTGTCCTCCGGTAAGAACGATGTCCTCTCTAACCAGGTGACATAGTGTAAGGAGAAGAAGGTTTCACGGCGTAAGTCGACCTCGTCCCTCTCTTCGGCTCCGCCAATGAAAACTTTGTCAAAGGTAGAGAAGAAGAAAGGGGTGAAGGCCGAACTGGCTGTTCCCTTAATCTGCACGCTCTCACCCCATGGAATTATGGTTCTCACGAATAAATTACCTGACGAGACCTTGGCCTTTCCCTGCTTTCCGTCTGCAGGCCCCCCAGGGGACGTCCAACAGACGGGTTGGGCAGCTGAGTCAGTCCTGAAAGGGTATGCTTCATGCTCGATCTTGTCTAAGCCAAAGATGGGGAGACATGTACACACAGCCCCAAATGGTGGTTTATATTGTACACATTTCCTTTTTGGCTCTTCAGGCTGATACCCTCGCTAGAGCACAAATGCGGAATCTGGATATCCACTGGTTGCCGTTGGCCCATCTATTGGATGTGGGTATTGACACACTTTGTGATATTTCGATCATGGAGGAGGTTTCGGTGCTCACTGTGGCACAATGGCTGTCACAGTCAGGGTCTGCCGATTACTTGACTTCCCTTGCCTTTGCAACGAATTTAGAAAAAAAGCAAATGCAATTCATTCCCAACCCTCGTGATCAGCAGAAGGCTGAGGGGCACACAAGGGAGTTTGTCCCTAAGAATCAGGCAGGAACCCGCATCCAATTAACTCGCGGCAAAGACCCAGTTAATGGTCCTGCCAAGAAGGTTTAGATTTGTCACGTGGAATGTTCGTGGCTTAGGGGATCTAATAAATTTAAGAAAGCGAGACTACGCTCCTGGGTATACAAACACCAGGTCCATTTTTTATGTCTGCAAGAAACGAAGCTGAACGATCCGAAAATGTCCAATATTACGAATTGGTGGAAAGACCCCCGATTTTGGGCTCCTGCTCAGGGTTCCAAGGGCGGTGTGGCGATCTTAATTAATCAAGATTTGGAATTAGATATCTTGGATCATTATATTGACCCAGAGGGAAGATGGTTATGGGTGAAATTTGAAATGGAAGCAGAAACTTTGGCGATTATAACTGTGTATGCCCCTGTGGACTCAGCTGAAAGAAATTCATTCTTTGTCGCCCTCCCAGGCTGGATCCCGGATACAAAAAACTTGATCCTGACCGGGGACTGGAACACAGTCTTTAACCCTGGTATGGATTCTTTGAAAATACATCAGGTGAGGCATGACACCTTGCTGCTCTCAGAATTTATGGAATCTCATAACCTAGTGGATGCCTATAGGACTCTGAACCCCGATGACAATGGTTTCACGTGGTTTGGGCCCAAACCCAATACACGTACGCCTGCGCCAAGGAAGAGACTAGATTTCTTTCTGGTAAGAGGATCTCCGTGGGACATATGCATGTTCTATGACGTACAAATAGGTTCGCTCTCGGACCATTATCCCGTAACGCTGGACATTATTTTAAGGGATTTATTAGAAATACATCGCCCCCCTTTCCGTTTAAATGTGAATCTATTGAAAGATGAAGGCATTTCAAAATGAGTGTCTTCGCATATGGAAACCTGGAAAAGAGCGCAAAACCTATTCAGCGATCCTAATGACTGGGCTGATTCCGGTATTGCCATTGTGAGAGCGGCTTTGGTGGAATTTCGAGGATGAAGGCCGCCGCCCGCAACTGGAAGGAACAGTCCCTGGAAAAAGCAGTTAAAGTTGCTGAAGAGAAAATGGGGAAGGATGCCTTTGCAGATTTTTATTGGGCCGAAAAGAGATCGAGAGCTCTAGCGGACTTAAAAACCCTCCAAATACAAAGACAAGGGGACTGACTTGAATGGTTAAAGCTTAGAGGCATAGTAGGATATGATAGAATGACTAAATTATCTTTTAGATCACTACTGTTAAGGCAATCTAAGTCCTTGGTGAGAGAGTTAGTCCACCCCTTTGCGATTAATGCTCCGATAGCTAATGACACCGTCACTATGTGCGAATATGCTTTATAGGGACATTGTGTCGACTAGGAGACCCCTGGACCCTCCAGATTTGGACTTGTCAGAGGGTTCGGATTTCTGGGAAGCGTCGTATGCTACCATTACTCATTCAGCTAAAGAAGAGTTAGACCAACCGATGATAGTGGATGAATTGCTGACTGCGGCAAAACTCATGGCAAAAGGAAAATGTCCCAGCCTGGATGGGCTCCCATTGATTCTGGCGTCTAAGCAAACTTTTGGACCATTCTTATGCGAAATTTATAATAAAGCCCAGACCTCTGGTTTCTTTCCAAGAAACTTCACCTTGGGCATGATCTTGCTCCTCTATAAAAAAGGAGACAAAAGAGACGTACGAAATTGGAGACCGATTTCGGTCCTGAATGTAACGTATAAACTGTTTGCCAAAACTCTAGCCCTGCGCTTAGCGAAGCTTTTGCCTGTATTGATCGGATGGGAGCAGGGTGCCTTTGTAAAGGGACGCTCAATCTTTGATAATATTTTGGCGACAGTCCAAGAGTTGGAAGTGATAGGGAAGGACAAGAGAGATGTCGCAGTCCTTCTCCTTGACATGGAGAAGGCCTACGACAAAGTCGGCTGGAGTTTTGTCCATACCACTCTTAAAAGTCTTGGTTTTGGGCAAGGGTTTTGCGGTGGGTCAAGGCCAGCTATGCAGACGTCTCCTCAGTTGTGATAGTAAATGGAAGGTTGTCTGACAAGTTCCGTTTAACCCGCTCTCTGAGGCAGGGGTGCCCGCTTGCCCCCCTTCTTTTTGTCATTCAGCTGAAAGTCTTATTGAATAACATAAGAAAGAATGATAAAATTAAAGGGTTACAACTTTCTCAGTCTGCGCAATGGAAAGGGGGTGCTATAGCGGACGACTTAACTATAGCTAGTGAAAACACTGTAGAATCCCTGTCCGAATTAAGATCGGTTATAGATACATACTGTACGCTATCAGAGGCATCCATAAATTGGAACAAGTCTGTGTTTTCCCCCCCTCCCTCCCAAAACCTGTGTGTCAATTGGGGTCTGAGACAAATTCCGGCGAACTCCTCGGATCGCTTCTTGGGTATTCAAGTTTCTCTCTCTAACTGTGCAGCTGTTCAAGATGACGTCTTGGTGGGATAAGTTTCAGCCCGCATAGCAGGGTGGGTTCGCAGCCATAAACTTTTGTTGTACGGCAGAGCGATGGTCCTGTCAGCGGCGGCTTTCTCTTTGCTATGGTTCCCTCTTTCAGTTCACTTGCTGGGTGAGGAGGCCTATGCAAAAATAAGAAAGGCAGCGGCCCGTTATTTGTGGAAGCCAGCGGCAGAAGATCAGCAAGGGTTCATTTATAAGGTTGCATGGGATGAGGTGTGTGCGGCCAAGGAGCTGGGGGGTCTGGGCATCCTTGACCCAGTCCAACAGAACCTGGCCCTCCTGATTAAATGGCTTATTGCAGCTACTTGGGGTCCACGCTCTAAATGGTGGGTGAGATTGGCGGAACACATCCTTGCAGGGGACTGGCGTCTGGCCAAAGGTAGTGATCTGTGGAGATCCTTGTTCATACCATCCTTTGCGAAACGCCGTCCAAAGTCCAAGTTGTGGAGAAGCATCCTCCATGCGTGGGGAAGACTGTTCCCTACGTCAAGATCCCAGCCCTCCACGAAGCACGAGGTACTTAATCAGTTTCTGTTTGAGAACCCTTGGATAACGAAGGAGGGTGGCTCTCAGTTTATGGCAGATGGCTCCAAGGGGTCCTTTGGAAGAACCTGGGTGGAGAGAGGTATTATGCAAATAAAGGATTTATGGGATCAGAGCGAGGGCGATTGGTTACGGACGGATCAGGTGCGGAGATTGCTCCCTCGTGGTCGTAACATAGAAAGCCGATTCTCTGCTCTAAAGAGGGCGATACCGGATTTCTGGCTGTTCCTACTGCAAAATCCTGGTCTCCCACAGTCAGGTACTTGGCTAAAAGATCCATCCGCTCCCGGCTGGTTCCTGAAGGTGGAAGGTCCAGAAATCCCCCAAGGCATCAAGGTCCAAATTTGGGAGAGGTATTTTGACAGAAAGAAACAGGCGTGCCTAAAGCATGTGGGAGAAAAGGTTCTGTCTTCTACGGGAGGTTATGAAGAAAGCAGGATCTGGTCCCCAGGAGCAAGAGGTAAGGGTAAGATGCAAGTTCTGTATGAAAATGCCTCAGATATCTCTGTAGAGCCATGTCTGATGGGATGGGATGGACTGGAGTCGCCCTCTGCGATCGCCCCAGTGTTTCAATACAAGCCATGTTGGGGTGTGAAGATTCTCAGAGCTAAAAGTAAGAAACAGCCTATCGTCACGGCCTCCAGACGCCTGAGTAAGCAGTCCGGTTTCGAAGTGGGTTCGGTGGATCTCTTCAAGCTGTGGAAGGCTTTCCAGCTAATTCCCTCTCAGAAGCAAGCTAGCATACAGTGGTTACAGTCCTTGTTGGCCACCCCTTCGGCCTTATGGCTAGCAGAAAAAGGTATGCCTGTCGAGCCGCAGTGCATTCGGTGCCGATGGGGCTGGGAGACGGCCTCCCATATTTGGCTGTACTGTCCTGCCTCCTTCCAGATCTGGTCCTGGTGGCAAATACATTGGCAAAACATGTCCAAAGGGGAGTTCCCATGGAATCACGAGTGGATTTTATTCGGGGCCTCTCCTGTAGACTCAGATCTGTCGGAGGGATCGGGTTACATGGCTCTCGTCTGCAGAGGAATAATAATGGAGGCAATTTGGAAAAGTAGAAACAATGCAGTGTTTCGTAAGGAGGGCTCGTCCTTTCAGGGAATAGTTAGCGAGATAAAAAGTCAAATCCGGTTGGCCATTAGGGTGGATTGGAGGGCCTCCTCGGCCCAGGTAAAAAAGAACAGGTATTGGTTTGTTAAGACATGGGCTAGGAAAGGGGCTCTGTCCTCTATCTCCCCAGATGGCCATTTGTGTTTTTGTCCTTGGCTGCAGCACAACCCCCCGGAGGGGCAGGTTCATAGACCGAGTTAGGTCCTTAATTATGGGTCGTTTTTAGACCCAACAGTTCTCCCTTCCTGGTGGCTATTGAGTGGCTTCATAGGTTAGAGATTCCAGGTTCCTGTTTTTTTGTTGGTAGTAGCTTTGTTTTTCCTATTGAATGTATGACTTTTTCTATGATGGATTTTGAATGATGGAGTGTTGGTAAGAGGAGTTAGTGTCAATGGGGCACAACAGTAGGATGTAGTGTTTTCTTGTGTGAGTCCTTTTGTCTAGGATAGATGCAATGTGTCCTGTTTAGGATAGGCGGGTCCCTTTGGGTCCTGTAAAAAGCGAACACTGGGTAATGCTCCCAGACGATTTGGTTTGTTACCGGGTAGACTGTGAGGACCCCGGCCTCAAGGACACCGTTTTTCAGTAATATGAGCCTTGGGCACTGGGCCCCATTTGGGAAAAAAATAAAAAAAATAAAAAATAAAAAATCAATAGATAAGTCCCTCAAGGATTCCGCCAAGGACGCTTTTTGGAAACGCATGCGTTGTAGGCTGGGCTTTCCAATCTCAGCTGCTTTGAAAGAAAAGGGGTTTCAAGAGGCTGGCACTCTGACAGCTCTTGACTGCCCCAAGTGTCAAGAGGCTGCGTGGCGATGCAGCAACTGTACTCTTGAAAAAGAGATTTCAAGAGTGGTGTGGCGAGGGCCTAAACCTGGCCCCCTTAACCCGTCGGCAGAGATGGAGGAGAGTACAAAAAACGACGGAAAAAAACAAAGAATAAAAACACGACGCCCTATAGATACATTATACATATATAATATAAAATATACGTATCTATGTACTGAGTTCTGCGCCACGTGTCGGTCCAGCCTGGCGCCCGAGGGACGTGGTGGGGCCCGCGTACTGGCGCAGAGGTCTGTCCATGTGGTCTTGAACTGTTACGCTGTACCTGTCAGTGCGGGGGCTCATTGCCGCCGCATTGTCGTACCTGTGAGCGCGGGCTGGGCGCACTGCGGCTTCACCTGCTTGCAGCGGTTCTTGATTGATTGGAGCGGTACGGTTGATTGATCGATCCCGCGGTAATTGATGGATTGGACCGGCGGCGTTTGATTGATTGACCCGACGGCGGGTAATTGATTGATTGATTGATTGATTGATTGATTGATTGATTGGTTGGAGCGGTAAGGTTGTCTCGACGACTAGCCTCGGATTGCATGCTGGATTGACCCTGTCGAACTCAAGATGGGTGAAGGAGAGGCGCCACGTGTCCTGCTCTGCGGCGACGTCCTCGGGCGCTTGCGTCAGCTGCTAAAGCGTGTCAACACGGTAAGTGTGAGTGTGACGGCACAGTTAATTACTTAGCAGTATCTTCTACCATTGACTACCAAGAAAGCATCAACCCCTGGAAGGAGTGAAGAAGAGAAGGGAAAAGGAACGTAGTTGGTGGCGAAGAAAAAAAACTAAAATGAACCTAGATGGTAACGAAGAAGAAAGAAGAACGAAGAAAGAAAGAAAGAAGAAAGAAAGAAGGAAGAAAGAAAGAAGAAGGACGAAAGAAGAAGGAAGAAAGAAGAAGGAAGAAAGAAGAAAGAAGGTATTGAAATTGAGCTTGCAAATGGTGGAAAAGAAGAAGAAGAAGAAGAAGAAGAAGAAGAGGACGGAGATGAAGAAGAGTCAGGAAGAAGAGTCAGAAAAAGATTGTCTTGAAGAGAGGATGAGAGAGAGAGAGAGAGAGAGAGAGAGAGAGAGAGAGAGAGAGAGAGAGAGAGAGAGAACCGCGAACGAAATGGAGAGAAGAGCAAGCGTCTCTGTGGCGTTCGCTTGCTTTCGTCTGCTTCGGCATCCGTTTTATGTGGGAATCACCTCTTCCTCCTGTTTTTCGCCTTTTTTATTTTTTATTTTTTATTTTTGAACGGGCATCGTTGGATGGCAGTCCTTCCAGTTCTTTTGAGAATCTCCGGTGGTGCGTCTTTGTCAAGCTGAGTGTTGCAGCAAAGGGCGATGTACAGGTTGAATGGATTTGTAAACCCCTATAGAGAGGGCCCTTCAAGATTTCTCCCTCTCTTGAAGGGCCCTCTCTTACGTCCAGATTGAATGGATTTGTGAACCCCTATAGAGCTCAGAAACAAAAAAAAAAATTCCTCACCCAAAAAAAAAAAAAAAAAAAA